AGGAAAAACAGGTGAGCAGTCAGTCTGATCTCATTCTAAGTTAGAGAAGTACAAAATTGGTTCAGCAGCTCCTGGTTGAGAATCCCATGTGTGCAGGCCAGGTAAATGTTTTTAATGGATAACAATGTTAAGTTGAGTGAAATGTGACAGATATATAAATGGAAACAGTTTTATTATTACCTTTTGGGGGGTCTTTTTACCTAATAAGAATAGTTCTTATTAATGACCATTTGCATGCTGAGATGTTAACAGGATTAAACTTGAACATCTCCAGATATGTATTAATTACAATCAAATAATCTTTCTGTGCTAGCCATTGTTCTAAAGACTGTATGTCTTAACTCACTTTATTTTACCAGCAGTGAGGTCGGTACTGTAACTGGGAAACAAACGTAGTGGGATTAAGTGCTTGTTGCAGAGCCAGCACTCAGGTCCATGCTCTTCACCTGCCGGAGGCCTGTGCCCTGCCTTCCCCCAGCCCTCCTCCTGGCGTCACGTGGCTGTTAGGTGACTGCGGGCAGGTGGTTGTGTTCTAATTGGTTCCGAGAGCTGAGTGATTATTTGAAATTTTGCTAATCCCATCCTGCAGCCCTTAGAAATTACAGTACTGTACAAATCTGCCTGGATTTATGAGATCGGTAGATCTGAGAGATTGTATACAAATGGAATGGAAAATGAAGTTCAGATGAACCAGAATGCCTTTTAAATTCTGCAGTAAATCTTTTAAAGCTTTTTTTCTAAGTAAATCTGGAAAGCAAAGAAAATCTTCAAAAACTTAATCCAACTTGCTTGTTTATTTTATTTATTTTGAAAGCATAGGGTTTTTTAAAAATACACTTTTGATTTCAGAGAGAAAGACAGGGAGAGAGAGAGAAACATCAATGATGAGAGAGAATCATTGATTTGCTGCCTCCTGCACACCCCTACTGGGGATTTAGCCCCAAACCTGGGCATGTGCCCTTGACCGGAATCGAACCTGGGACCCTTCAGTCGCAGGCTGACGCCCTATCCACTGAGCCAAACCAGCTAGGACCCAAGTTGCTTGTTTTACAGGCAAGGAAATAGAGGCCAGGAGAGGTGCAGTGACCTAACCTGTTTGTGAACGTTTTCTACTGCATTACTATCCCGAAAAGCGCTCAGGAGGAAGCCAAGGGTATTGCTGCGAATTTAAATTTCAAGTCAAGTACACAGTAAGAGATCACTTGGTCAATAAATTGGTCATCTAGACAGAGCCCATCTTGTTTTTAAAATATATTTTTTAATTGATTTCAGGGAGAGGAAGGGAGAGGGAGAGAAACATCGATGGGCTGCCTCCTGCATGTTTCCTACTGGGGATCGAGCCCGAAATCCAGGCATGTGCCCTGACCTGGACTGCAGCCGGCAGCCTGGTGTGTGGGAGTACGCTCCACCAGCTGAGCCACACAGCCCGGTTAATGTGCTAACAGAACATTTGTCCCTGGATATTTGCTTAAAGCTCACTCCCAGCAATGAGACCCTGATTTAACAATAGTGAGCCTTTATCTTCTGACTAAAAATTAACAGGAATATCTTTAGATTTTCCATTGTAAGCTAAATTCTTACTTGGGAAGTTGCCTTTATTTATTAATATAAATACATATTTGGCTTTGATGGCAGGTGTGTTGAAACCATGCCATTTCCAGGAGGTTAAATGCAACAGACTTATGTGGAGAGCCCGAGGCCTTGCGGGGCCTTTAAAAAGCACAGAATGGGCAGCCTCCAGCCCTCTTTTCTCTGCCTGTAGCCAAGTCAGCATGGATCTGTATCTTCTTATTTGACAGCATAATCATGAGGGTGGGGCCCGAAGACTGCTACTCAGGCTTTGACTTAGCCTAGAAGCTATATAGTTTGTGGTTTGGAGCAGTGTTTGTTCTTCTACAAATATACCACTGGTTTCCTAAAAGAAAAAACTAGAGTCAAGGACAATTTGGCTTGACCTACGTGGCTCAGTGGTTGAGCATCGACCTATGAACCAGGAGGTCTGGGTTTGATTCCCGTCAGGGCACGTGCCCTGGTTGTGGGCCCGATCCCCAGTAGGGGGCGTGCAGGAGGCAGCCGATCAGTGATTTTCATCATTGATGTTTCTCTCTCTCCCTCTCCCTTCCTCTCTGAAATCAATAAAAATATATTTTAGGGGGTGGGGGGAGGAACGACAATTTTAAATTGTCTAAAGTTGCGTCCTCACAGAGGTTCGATTTACCGCCTTTCCATCACTGCCCCCTCCCCAGTCAGATTCAGTTCATTTCTGTAGTTGAGGATATCTGGCCCTCAGAGCTCGGCATGCAATTGCTGTTGTGAAAGGGCAGGTGTCGGGATGGCTTTCGCATTCCTTTACATGGAATGACACTGTTGGCAGACATGTCACGTTTGTGTTCATTCGGCAAACTGAGTGCCAGATACTGCTTTTGACAGAGGGCCGCACACCTAGGTAGTGTTGCCATGGAGTCACACACAGGCTGGTGGCACAAAGCGGCTGCAGGAGCTGAGGAAAACTTCCTGGAGAAGCTAACATTTGGGTTAGAGCTAGTGAGCTTTTTATTAAATGACCCCTAGGCTGTATCAGTCAGCGGTTGTGCCATCTGCTGCCAAGGGGGTTGGAGCTGCTGCGCCGACCCCGCCAGGCGGCTGTATTCATTGTGATCTTGTTCTTTTGCAGTTGAGGAACCTGCTGAAGTGGTACGCTAAGGAATTCAAAGACCCTCTGCTGCAGGACCCCCCGGTGTGGTTTAAATCCTTCCTGTTTTGCGAGCTTGTGTTTCAGCTGCCTTTCTTTCCCATTGCAACATATGCCTTCTTCAAAGGTTGGTGAATGGTGGGGAAATCCCGTTCCTGCTCAAATCAGGTCCCAGAAATCCTTGGGAAAGTATCTTCAAAGGGCAGGGGAGGGGCCCCTGTGGTTGTGTGAGGGGGTGGAGGATGTGGTGGGACGGCCAGGATGGCTCCTATAAAGGGACATCATGTGGCTCAGGCTAATGTCTGTGGTCGGCTGGGCTGCGTAACTGCTCAGCCAACTGGACAGCTCACACACGGGAAACTTAAAGCTTGAACTTGTTGCTTTTTCTTTATCAGTGGGTTTCATTTTTCTGTTTTAGGTAGTATCATGCTGGCTTATAAGTAGTAGCATCAAGCTAATTCCGAAGGGTTAACTTCTTTTTAAAAAAATGATTCTTACAGTGTCCCCATATGTCTGCTGCTGTTATAAAGAAAGTAGTCATACCGACATATGTGGTAACTAAGCTTGTAGAGCTTATCTCCCACTGCAACTCCCAGTCCATCTCTGGGCAGAATCTACTGATCTTCTCACCTACATGTACTATAATTACGTAACAAACATGTTGCTGTCACCCCCCCACACACACACACTTCAGACCAAACAGGTTTAACTTTTACTGCCCTAGAGTTTTCCTGAATTAAATTCCAATTCCCACCCTGGCTCTTTGGAAAATTTGCACATTTAGGCAGCATTACAGCACATCTGGTTTTCCATTTGTTTCCACTTGGTAAAGGGGGTAGAATGGTTCAGCTGAAAGGAGCAGTCAGGTGTCCTGGGGTGTGTCATGGGCAGACCTAACGCTGATCTCTCTCCCCGACGACTGCAGGAGGCTGCAAGTGGATTCGCACCGCCGCCATCGTCTACTCAGCCCACACCATGACAACCCTGATTCCAATTCTCTGCACGTTTCTGTTGGAGGATTTCTCTAAAGCCAGTGGTTTCAAAGGACAAGGGCCTAAGACTTTACGTGAACGCTTAACCCTCGTATCTGTCTACGCCCCTTACTTCCTCATCCCTCTTATGCTTCTGCTTTTCATGTTGCGGAGCCCCTACTACAAATATGAGGAGAAAAGAAAGAAAAAATGAGAACTACACAAGGAAAAGTGCTCAGAACCCATGTCTTCAGTAGCATTTGAAACACACCAGCAGCAGGAGCCATAAACTGTCACCTTCCTCGGGCACTGGCACAGACCATCACCTGAGGACGGGCCGCGTTCCCCCTGTGCCCACGTTCCATTGCAGAATTACCAAAAACAGGACCAGACCAGAAATGGATAAACTTCTAAGAAACACCCTGCTTGGCATTTTCATGAGTTATTTGATCTCAATATGCATGTGACTAAACCCTTGACTCAAGATTCTCTACAGCAAATCCCTATTCAGCAAAATGAGTAGTATGATGTTTCAGGCCATTTTTAAGTTTCAAATTATGCCTCTTCAATGTTCATTAAGAACTATGTTGTTTTCTCGCCTGCACCCCTGGTGGGGAGGAGAGAACACAGTCTGCCACAGGCTTAAGGCTCAGCCCTGGCTGACTTTCAGTCAGATGTGGGTTAAACCAGAAGGTGCTTTGTTTCTGTTTTAAACGGCTCGTCCCAGAAGGAGAGATTTTTTTAAGTCTCCTTGTTTATCTTCTTTCTAAACTTTAGTCCTGTCTTTTTACAGACCACCAGACAGGAGTCACTGTACTCTGAGGTCTGGTGTTTCAAACCTGACCTGGAAGTGTGCTGCCTTCTGGATAACTACATTCTTCCTAATAGTTTAATCATTCCTCCCCGTGTTTGTCTCAGTCAAATGGGGGGACAGCTGGGCATAACATGTCCACTGTATGCATCTAGGGTCTCTTCATGTTAGTACCTGTGTTACATTAGCTTTCTCTAAGTTCATACTCAAAGCTAACTTAAAAAAAAAAAGATTTATGAACACATGGACAACAGAAGAAATTGGTTCCAGTCGATTCCCTCTTGCCTGTTCTGCTCACAAGCCATATTACTCTAATTATTGGGAGTATCCTCTGACTCGTGTCCAGTCCAAATAAAGGTAGCTGCTGGCCATTGCCTGGTTTGTTTTGTGGACAAGGGGCTGGAGAGTCCAAGGTTCTCTTACAAGTGATTAAGTGTACACTTTAAGGGCACCAGGAAAAGAGGTAGATAAGCCATTTGAAAACAATAATTTATTGCTTTTTTTCTCCAAAGCTTTGTGAATTTACAAAAAAAAAAAAAAAAAACCAATCAAAGTTTACAGACTGCTTATTTCAGAATAAGAATGCAAGAGGTGAGAACCTGGGCCACCACGGTCACGGGGTGTCTACCAGATATGCACTGGCATCTGAAACAAGCCCTCCGCCCCAGATTTGTTTTATTGCCTTCAGAGACGATGCATCCTTCACACACCATCTCACATGATATACTTGGGTCATTAGTCAAAGTCACTGGAATGGTACAGAGGTTTTTTTGTTTTTCTACCCTCCTGCTATACAATGAAATTTTCAGTTCATTTCTGAAAAATAAATTGGTCAATAAATTCATTTTGTTCTGCTTCTACTTTACACAAAGCTTCATATTCAACCCGATACCTGAAAAACAAAATTGTTAGAAGCCCTAAAAATGGATGAAATAAACCATGGACTAATTCTTCTAGAGAAGAATATAGGTGACTTAAATGGTTCCAAGAAACGGTGTTAAGTGAAGTTAGGGCAAGAGAAAAGACTAGATGTACAGAGCCCTGCACAGGGCCACCATGAGAAATCTTCCGCCCTTAGAGGGCCTTCTGCCAGCCACCTTTGCCACTAGCTACCTGAGTCTTCACGCTCCCGAACTACTACAGGTGATTTGATATTAATGTTTTCCATCAAATTTTATTTTTAAAACTTCCAAATAGGATGACAAGTGAGACACTATTTCTAGGAGAAAAATGAAGAATAAGGATAAGAGGTGACTGTTAAGGAGAAATAGAACTGCAGAGGAGTAAAGACCTTGCTTTACATAACGTCTTACCTTTCGAGCTGCATTTTCTTTTCCGCTATTAGTGCTTGGAGTTGCTGCTGTTGGGCTTCTCTCTGCTTTGCTATAGATTTGAGCAAATTGCGAGCACCAATGGCCTAGAAGAACAGTGTTGCCAAAGAAGGTCATGGCTTCATTCAAACCATCTTCAGCGTTAAGTCCTCAACTGGGTAAGCACCACTTGGGGGCTACCTCACTGCCCAGAAGGGAAAAGAAGGTTGAACCCCAGAGCTTTGGGAAAGAAAGGATTAATCTCAGGATTCCAAAGTCAGAACTGGCCTAGAGCTCTGAGGCAGACCTAGGAGTATCCCCAGGGTCTGGAACATTTAGTGCTCTTCACCAAGTCATCTATACTCTGCACATCTTCATTTATAAGATGATAAAACCATCTATTTCAGTGACGTGACAAAGGAAATAATGACAAAGTGTACCGGCATATAAGAATTCAAAGTAGGTTAACTGGACCAGGAATTGTTTTTAAAACACAGGTATAATTGACATGTGATATTTTAGGTGTACAACATGAGTTGATACTTGTACAGGAAATGTTATTTAAAATCTTGTTTTATTAGAAGAACATCCTCCTCAACACACACACACACACACACAGTCAAGAAGGCAGAAGATGACAGGCTAGTGAATGAGGATCCCAGGCCAAGATTGAGATAAAACTGCAGCCTGATCTTACCTTCATCTTCTCATTTTCTGCTTCTTTTGCAAGTTGGTCAACAAGCTCAAGTAAACCACCAACTATTTTCTGAAATTGGCCAATTTCTTTGGGGGAAAGAAGAAAATGTTTTTATTTCCTCGGTGTCATCACTCTCCCTCAGTGCTCCCTTTCAGCGGGAGGGAAGGACTGACTGCCCTGCTAATTTGCATCCAAACAGTTTGGTGCCTGCGGGTCTGAAGTCTGTCCCCCTTGGTCTGGACCTAGAGACGACTGGCCGTGTCCAGAGCTAGACTGGGGAGTATCTGGACTTTGAGCCCCCACGACCAGCCAGCTGCTGTTACCTCAGGCTATGAAGGCCCTGGTGGGCCTATTCTATGGGTGGACCCCATCCTGCCGTCCGTCCCCACCCCCAGAAGGTACAAAGGGCCACATTCATGAAAGGACTGCCTCAGGACAGGAAGCTGCCTCTTGTAGCCACAGATACACTAGATTTCAGTTGATGGTGGGGCTATCCACTGTGACCACAGCTAATAAAGAGCTCAAAGCATTTAAGTGCCTAATCTCCCATTCCCTTTTTTCAATATCCTTGGGTGTGGTGGAACCCCCACTCCTGAGGAGTAAGCTAAGGCCCAAGAAGATGGGACAACATTCCCAGCATCCAGAAGGCTGGCAATAGAACTCATGCTACCTTCACCAGGTGAGCTCTCCACGCCTACAGTCCCCGAAGGCTCGGAAATCCCTGCTCTAGCTAGACCTGCTCTTTATTCGCGCCACTGGTCTTGCTTGGCTGCCAGGACAGGAGGTGTTCTGGGTATCTCCTGTTAAAAGATGTTTTCATGGGGTCTGTTGAGCTGCTTCTAGGGACTCCAGTTAATCAACTTTTACTCCCAATACAGACAAGCCCACTACTGATTTCTTGATTTCCCAAGAAATCAAGTCACCAGTACATAACTCTATTTCCCACTCCCAAGCCACAGTTCTGCTCCCATGAAGTTTAAGGTTTCTGAGAGCAAAAAAATCAAAGATGGCATATCTCAAAACACACCCTCCTCTCAGCATTTCAGCGTCTGCTTTGACTGGTGTTCCCTGTGGGACTACATGAGAGCATAAGAGGGCAGGTAGATAAGGTGGGTGGCACATGGGAACTCATAAAGGTCAGGGCCAACCTTCAGGGAGCCAGCAGCTCCATTCTGGCTGGGCCAAGAGCAACAGCCGGGAGGCAGGGATGGGGCACAGCTGGAATAATTCAAAGCTGAGTAGCAACATGTCTCCCCAAATGACACTCACTGTCCACGAAGTCCTTGCACTCTTCCTTGAGCTCTGTGGTCTGCTGGCTGACCTCTGGGTCCAACACCCGCAGCTTGTTCAGTTCATCAAAGTGCAACCCAGCTTCACCCAGGATGTCCTTGGCCATCGCTGTGAAGAAACCAACCCCAATCCATGATCACTTCCCAGCCATCCAAAGAAAGACCTGCTTCCAGCCCAGCCCCACTCCTGCCCCCAGATACCAATGCCAAAACCCCAGCTGTTCCGAAGACTCCCCCGTCCCTCTGCCTCCACCTCTCTAAGCCTCACCTGTTTCCCTTCCAGGTTCTCTAGAGAAGATCTGCTCTGAAGGAGTGATAGCAGCCGGGAGGAGATGTGTCATAGGATCAAGGGTCAGGAAAGAATAAAGTCCAGTTGCTTGTCACAGGCATCGTTCATTCAACACATATTTCTTGAGTGCCTACTACATGCCAACATCGCTAGATGCTGGGGGTACAAAGATGAGTGCAACATGGTACCCGCCCTGGAGGAGCACAGTTTAGCTGGAGGAAGACAGACACGTAAACTGAAAAATTATACTGTGTTAAGTGCTTTTACAGAAATATCACTAAAGCACTAGAGAACAGTTAACTTGGCCTGAGGAAGTTCACATGTGAATTAAGTTGTTAGCCATAAGCATATTTATTTATCCCCAATTATATACCCAAAAGGACACGACAAAGCTTTTCAAATGCAGAACTGCAACAACACAAAAAGCAAGTGAAGAGAAAGTCTGGATGAATTACAAATCAGGGTTAAAAAAAATACGCCAGGAGTAAGCATATTGCCCACAGTGTATGCCAGGGGTACTGTGCGCCTGCCTGAACCGGGACCCAGAGTTGGGTTGGTCTCTTTCAAGCAGAAAACAGAGTAAGGAAGTCAGGGCAGGCATTCCAAGCAGAGAACAGCATGAACAACAGCCTGACGTCACTGGAAGGGCCTAGAAGATGAAAGGACAGAGGGTGGAGCTGGAAAGGTCAGAAGGAGCCAGATCAGAGACCCTGTGTGCCAAGCTGAAGAGTTTAGGGTTCTTCTGTCGGCAAGAGAACCAGCACAGACATCTCCCTTCCCAGGCCACCTTGCATTCCTGGTCTAAAGGATGCCTCCGTTCTTGGAAAGAAACACTGAAACCTCACCCTCATTCTGGCTTTAAAATAACACAAAAACAACACATACCTGTCTAGAAAGGAAGGCGATGCTATTCAGGACTAGCCATTGGCCGCCATACCAATTCCAAAACCCCAGGTGTTCCAAAGGCTACCACCACCTGGCCCCGCACCAGCCCGCCCTCTGCTCCCACCTCCTCCAGCCCAACCCTCCCCTCCCAGCTTCCTTAGAGAAGTTCTGTTCTGAACGGGGTGATTCTGGGACTGACTGCCCAGACCACGTGTACCATTAGAAGATCAATGGTTTAAAAAGCTGGGGTGGCCAAGTTGGTTGGGCATCGCCCATGTGCCTGGGGGTGGCCAGTTGGATTCCCAGTCAGGGCACATGCCCGGGCGGCATGCTCCATCCCGAGTAGAGGGTGTGTGGGAGGCAGTCGATCAATGTTTCGTCTCACAAGGTTTCTCTCTCTCTCCCTCTCCCTCCAAAAAGTCAATAAAATCTTAAGAAAAAAAAGGGGGGGGGGATTAAGTCCCACCATTGCCAGAACTGATTTTCAAGAGGACCAGAAGTCCAGATTTACATATGGAATCTGATTTTTAAAGGGAAGTATCTAATTCAAAAATCCAAAGTAAGGAACGGAACACATCCACAACTGTGTGGGCCAACTAATGCACGTCCACGGGTTGTCCGTGTATGACTGGGGCCCACAGCCTGTGGCCTCCCTGGAATCCACTCCAGTAAGCTGGCGAGCATCTTCCTTTGGAAACATTTTAATCATCCAGAGCTTCCTTATGATCAGGTTTTTTTTGATATTTTTATTGATTTCAGAGAGGAAGGGACAGGGAGAGACAGACAGAAACATGAACGAGAGAGAATCACTGATTGGCTGCCTCCTGCAGGCCCCCCACTGGGGATGGAGGCCGAAACCCCCGCATGTGTCCTGACCCAAATCCAACCGTGACCTCCTGGTTCATGGGTCAACGTTCAACCACTGAGCCACACCAATTCTGCTGGTCAGGCTTTTAAAAAATATGTGTTCATATTTTTTAATATCCTACTTGTTACATTTACACATATAGTCTGAGTACTTAACACCTACCGGGGGATTAACCAGATCAACTCCTCTAGAAAGTTCCAAGTGACCCGCGGGAGCAAACATCTGCGTCAACTTTTGCCCCCTTCCCTGAGAGCACGAATTTATTGAGACACCTACTGGGCCCCTGCCCCGGAGACGGAACAGTGAAGAAAATGCTTTCATGCTATAGCGCCTGAGCTCTGGACGAAGAGTAGACAGATCATCACCAATGATGGTAACAGTGTGAGGAGAGGCCCAGGGCGCCAGGGGACGCGGCAGCAGCAGCACATGCTTCTTATGGGGGTGGGGGTGTCACAAACGCCTTCTGCAAAAGGGACACTGAAGCTGAGACCTAAGAGATGCCCCAAAGTTTGTCAAGTGAAGGGGGGAGGCGGCATTCCCGGCAGAGGGGAAAGCACGTGTGAAGATCCTGAAGCTGGGACACATTCAACACATCCCAACACCTGGACGAGAGGGGGCGCGGGACAGGACGCCGCTGGGGAAGGGAGCTGGAGCGGGAAGGGCTCTGAAAGCTGCAGGAATGGCCTTGGGTTTTATCAGAGGCTTCATGAGCAGCCAGTGGGTTCTCAACAGAGTGGCATGGTCAGATCTGCCTTTAGAGAGGCCACCGTGACCCAGGACGGAGACTGGGCTGGAGGACACGAGGGTGGGAGTTCATCACGGTAACCCCAGCATCCAGCGGGGGGCCTGCACATAACCGGCACTCAGCAACTGTGGAATGAAAGACTGTGAGAACAGAGCAGGTGATTACAGTCCCCGAGGCTGGGAGCTGCAGAAAAGTGTTCCGATTTGAGCTGTCTTGTAAGTCGAGTTGTTAGGACTGAGTAAGAGTGACTGAATGTAGCAGGGGCTTCGGGGATGAGGGAAGGAAAGAGTCAGACAAGATCCCCGTGTTTCTGGCTTGAGACAACTGTAGGGCTGAATGCGATGAGTAAGACCGGAGAAGGGGTGAAGGGAGAGGGTTCACAGCTGACTATCCGGTCTCTCCCAACTCCCACGGCTCGCGAATCTGAGCCTCAGAGCAACACCGGGCGCAAGAGCCGGGCTGAGCTCCCCGGGAGGAGGGCGGCGACACGCTTCCCGCCCCCGGCTCCCCCAGGTCCACGCCAGGCACCGCGAGGAAGCCCATCCATGGGGCACAGGCAAAGGGCACTGGGCAGAAAGTCAGAAAGGGCTGGGTGGTGGAACTGGCTGTCTTCACTATGTAAACTCCTTGGACTTATCTGAGCCAGTTTTCTCACAAGGTTGTTGTGAGCACCCGCGCGTAAAGCTGCCGGCCCACGCGGCGTGTAATACCGCTCCCAAAGACTTGGGCGGAATTCCCACGTTTCTTTCCGCCTGGGACGATCTTTCCTCGAGGCGCGGGCCTGTCGGATTTATCTCGCCCCGGGCCCGCCCACGTCTCCCGACCGGAGTCACGGCCTACCTTCCGACCCTGCGGCGGCGGCGGCGGCGCGCGGCAGCCCAGGCTGAGGTTGGCAGAGAGCTTCTCTCTCGATCCGCGGCAGCGGTACCTGGCCCGCCAGCCTCAGCCGCTGCCACGGCTACAGGACCTGTGTACGCATAACGTCACTACTTGACACCGGAAGCATTTACCCCGCCCGACCCGCAGAGCCTGCTGGGAAACACAGGCCCGAGAAGTGAGACCCTGCCTACAAGATCCAGAGGCCTTTGCACCGAAAGTCTTCCGGAAGTAGTTGTGGGCTCTCCAGGGAATACTCTCGCAGTGGTTCTCAACCTTCCTAATGCCCCGACTCTTTAATACAGTTCCTCGTGTTGTGGTGACCCCCCCCAACCATAAAATTTATTTTCGTTGCTACTTCATAACTGTAATGTTGCTACTGTTAGAAATCGTAATGTAAACATCTGATATGCTATATGTGTTTTCTGATGGTTGCGACCCACAGGTTGAGAACCGCTGCTAGGGGCTCTTCCCTCTCCCCTGATTGGATGCTGGGCATGCCGGGACTTACAGTCTCAGGCTCCTGGGCCCGCCCCGCTGGGCGGCAGCTCGGGAGGGAGTGTGCAGTCGGAGGATGTGATTTCACAGCCCGGGATTGCTGTTTCAAGGGCGGCCACATCCTAGGGCGGTAGGTGTCGGCCTGCAACCCACCTGGCAGGAGAGGCGCCGCTGGGGACGGTAAGAATCGGGTCTGCCGATACCCTAGGCGAGGGGAAGGGATGGACGGGCCTCGCGCTGGAGCAAAGAGCCCCACCTGGACCTGGGGAAAAGGCGTGGGCCAGCGTAGGGGAGATGGGTGGGGTGGGGTGGGTGTCTGTCTGTGTCTCTGTGTCCGGGTCTCTGTTTCTCGGTAGTAAGCGGGGGTACGAGCTGGGAAAGACTCCACACTGGCCACAGAGTTTGGGTCTTCTTTAATTTCTCCAGACCCTTTGGATGAAGCCTACGATTTCACACTTAGGATTTCTGCTAGACCCGCCGTCTCTCCGCACGTCCCGCTTGCCCGTGTGTAACTAATTGCTGAGTGTTCTTCCTTTAGGACCCCTCCCTCCTCCCACCGCCGAGGTGGTTTGCCCTTGATTCTGCTCGGGCTCCCCTTAGCTTCGCTGAGTGTGACGCGGATGCGCCCCCAGCCTCAGGCACCCCCAGATACCCGCACACAAAGTCCGGAAGGAAGAGCACTGAGGCTTCCAGTGGAAACTTCATTCTCACAGGAATTACTTTCTGGGCGTTACCTGCCAGAGAATTCCTGGAACCCATTGGTATGGACAGAATCTGAGCTGACGTCACCCAGGGGCTCCTAGCAATTGCTTTGCAGGAAAAGAATAGATTAACTTTGGGTTTGTCTTTCTCTGTTGGCCACAACCTAGCCTTTGAGTTCCTTTGCTTTGGCAGAATAAGTGTGTGTTTTCTTTGATCCTGGGGAAATGGATGCTAGACACAAAACACACAAGAACTGGTTGAAACTTGTTAAGGGGTGGTTTTGTTCCTTTGGGGTGGGCTGAGGAAGGTAAGGTGATCCCATACTAGTGTTACTTATTGATCGGGCGGTCTTCAGGGGAGGGTTCTTTGTGTCCTTGAAGCAAATGAGAGTCACCTGGACAAGCCGTCAGAGGAATTCAGTACCTCACAGCACCTGCTCCGGCCCTTCCTGGGCAATCCTTCCCAGGGACCTACCTAAATTATCAGGGACGATTTCAGTGTAACAGACCAACATATAGTCAGTGCTTTAAAGTGTGAATGGCATTGTGCTAAGTTTGGAGAATGGAGCAGTAAACTTGGGAAAATCAGTGCACTGTTTCTGGGTTGCACTTACAAGAGATGATGTGCAACTGTAAACTTCTGAATGTTGTGATGATTAAATGAAGTAATTCCACTCTTTCCTGTTTCCATTTTCACCACTGTGGTCCACGCCTTCACCATCCTTCTCTTGCCCAGACTACTGCTTCCTCTGGTCTTCCCACTGGATCTCTTGAACCCTTACAATATATTCTCTGCACAGCAGCCAGAGCCTGGATCCTTTATAAAGGAAGTGTATCCTGACTCTCAGACTCCTGGGAAACTCCTAGGCTGGCTGGACTCACAGTAGGTTTGTCTGGAAGTCTTTACATTCCCAAATGTAAATAGATCATATCAGTCCCCTGCTTAAAACTCTCCAATCGATTCCCATTGCAATTCTTTAATATGGTCTGGTCTTCCTTTCTTTCTATGCACCAGCCATTGTGGCCTTAACTCTGTTCCTAAAACGTGTGTCTACCTGACGTTTTGGCATTTACGTTTCCATTCGTCTGGAATATCCTCTCAGACCTCAGCTGGAATGTCACCTTCCCAAACAGGCTTTCCCTGGTCCCCTATCTAGATTAGTGCATCTCCCTAGTCACTTTCTTAATACTGTTTTAGCCCTAGCTGGTTTAGCTCAGTGGATAGAGCATCGGCCTGCGAACTGAAGGGTCCCGGGTTCGATTCCAGGCAAGGCCACATGCCGGGTTGTGGACTTGATCCCCATTAGGGGACCTGCAGGAGGCAGCCAATCAATGATTCTTTCTCATCATTGATGTTTCTCTCTCTCCCCCGCCCTCTCCCTTTCTCTCTGAAATCAATAAAAAATATGTATTAAAAAATACTGTTTTATCTTTATTGCATTTCTCACTTTTGGAATTACCTGCTTATTTGTTTTCTTGTTTTCTGTATCCACCAACTAGAATGTAAACTCCATGAGGCCATTCCGTGTTCTCTTCTGTATCTCCAGTGCCTGGCACGTAGCAGGGGGAAATACTAGTAAATGGTAATTCTTACCATATTTATTCTTGTTAACGTTATGATGCTTTGAACTCCTCGAAGACAGGGATGATATTTTCTCATCTCTCTATCCCTACTGCTTAACCTAATAGGAACTCAATATTGTTTTATTGCTGAATGAATTCAGTGCGTTAATAAATATTAAATGCCTGGAACACTTAATGCAATGAATGTTTTCTATTATTTTTTTCTTCAGTGTATGGATTCTTTAGAAAACCAAAACATATAACAAAGTCTAAATCAAAAGAGGTGACCTCGCTTTTACTTTCAATTTCCAAATCACTTAATTGATTTGAGATTTATCATCTGGTCTTTTCTAGCCCTTTCTTCCCATTCTTGTTGGAAGGGAACTGAGGAAGAGATAGGGCTGGGCCCCTCAGGAAAAGAAGCAAAAATAGCCATCCTGTAGTTGTTCAATCCTGAAAAATGGTGACAATTTCAGGAACTTAGGATAGGGCTGGTGCCAAGAAACGGGAAGGTCAGGAAGCGCCTGCTGGAGCCAGGGCCACCTCTGCCAGGAACAGTGGCTGGGACCCTCCAGCCCGACTCGCTTCATGCTCTCCTGAGCTGCTTCTACTTGCCTTCCTGAAGCCAGACTCCGGTGTTACTCAAAACAAGCACTGGTGCAGGCTGCTCCTGAGTCTGGAATCTTTCAAAGGAAGTGCACCCTGTCCCTCAGGCTCCTGGAAACTCCTAAGCAGGCTGAATTCCCAGTGGGTTTGACTGGAAGTCTTGAATCCTGGGAATCTTGAGAAGAAAATAACTGGGCTCTGATTGGCAGATCCCCAGGGTAAGGACTTCTGCCCAGTCTGTTCCTGACTGGCTCCAAGGGCTTGCTTGTCCTCCTTGCCGCCCAGAGCTGAGTCTCGGGGAGGCTGGTGACGTGACCAGCTCTGGGCTCTGGGATGTGGTTCCTGGTACATACAGAACAGCAGGAGCATCTTTCTTACCATTGCCCAGGGCCGTCATCTCTGCCAGGGAGTCTTGACTTGTCAAGGAGAGAATGACTGGATGGTCAGTGTTTCTCCCTTTGTCCCCTGCTGACTCTTTTCTTCTCTCCCATCTCCTGCTCACAGCCTTGAGAGTATGAGGCTCTCACCTCCATTGGCCACTCACTCGTGACCCTTCACCACGGCGGAACCTTCCAAGCCCACCTGTTGCCGTGTGGTGATCTACCTGAAGCGGGAGATGTCGGGGGATACCTGCTTGTGCCCAGCCTCAGGGGCCAAGCCCAAGCTAAGCGGCTTCAAGGGAGGAAGCCTGGGCAACAAATATGTCCAGCTCAATGTGGGCGGTTCGCTGTACTACACCACGGTGCGGGCACTAACCCGGCATGACACCATGCTCAAGGCCATGTTCAGCGGGCGCATGGAGGTGCTGACTGACAAGGAAGGTGAGGTATCAGGGCTTGCTGGGCTAGGTGGGAAGGGAAGGAGGCGTTCCTGGGGGTGTGACTTCAGGGCAGGGCTTAAGCCTGGCATATATAGACTCTAGGTTCACTTTTCCAGTTCACCTAGTACAGGACTCCACCTGGCATCCTTAATCAAGCGTCAGAATTCTATTTGGCATTGCACATAGATTATTGTATGGCTACGCACCCATTTCCCAGCAAGGCTATCCATACTTTGTTTTTCTCTTCACATAGGACTAGATTCTCATAAGCAGCATCACCATAGTGGCGGGGCAGTGGGCAGAGGCAAACAGGGCTGGTGGTTTCTGTGCTGTCAGGAGGTGGGCCTGAGCGTTCCTGTGCTTCGACCTCTGCCGGCCTCCACAGAGCCTGGGGGCCTGTCTCTCCTACAGTATGTGCCAGTTCTTGGTTTCACGGGGAGGAGTGAGAGCAACAATGGCCTGAAGAGCTTGAGGTTTTCTGTTACCCTATGCTGTGGGCTCTCTGCCACCGGTCACCAGGCTGTCAGATGGCCTTTGCTACTGCCTGCTTCTGAGGTTCCTGGAGGCAAACAGTCACCCTCTGGGGCCCATTTGAATCCCTAGGCTGGATCCTCATAGACCGATGTGGAAAGCACTTCGGCACCATTTTGAATTACCTCCGTGATGACACCATCACCCTCCCTCAGAACCGTCAAGAAATCAAGGAATTGATGGCTGAAGCGAAATATTACCTCATTCAGGGCCTGGTGAACATGTGCCAGAGTGCCCTGCAGGTACGGCGCAGAGTTGGGGCTGCTTGACATGGTTGGGAGTTGGCCCCCTCCTTCAGGGACATAAGAGTCCAGTTCCTGGAAGGCTGTGTGGCAGGTATGGTTGACAAGTCCAAACCTAGTTAAATGTACCAGGTGTTGCCCTGACCGGTTGGCTCAGTGGATAGAGCGTCGGCCTGCAGACTGAAAGGTCCCGGGTTCGATTCCAGTCAAGGGCATGTACCTTGGTTGCGGGCACATCCCCAGTTGGGGGCTGATCGATGTTTCTAACTCTATCCCTCTCCCTTCCTCTCTGTAAAAAATCAATAAAATATTAAAAAAAAAATATATATATATATATATATATATATATATACACACACATACATACATACCAAGTGTTGCCCAGGCCAAGCAAGTGGGCAGCCAGTCAGTTTTGTAAGGTGGTGCACTGAAGCCATATGACTAGGCCCTGCTGCTAGTTTATAGCCTAGATACCCGCATTTTAGCTTTTCTAGAAATGGGAGTCTGCTTGCCAGCTGGCAGTTTCTATTACCAGGGGCTCCTAATCTGTCTGATGCCTCAGCAAGCAGGGCTGGCCATGGCACAGGGGCTTTGACAGTTCCTGGGGAAAGCCTGGCTAAAGCCTGGCAAACAGACCTCAAAGAGGCTTCTCACTGTGTCACCCAGGACAAGAAGGACTCCTACCAGCCTGTGTGCAACATCCCCATCATCACCTCCCTGAAGGAGGAGGAGAGGCTCATCGAATCTTCCACCAAGGTACTGGGATCTCGGAGGGACTCTTGAGGGCTCAGGCAGGGGATTCCGGGACTTGGCCCAGCCCTCACACTCTCCTCCCTCACAGCCTGTGGTGAAGCTGCTGTACAACAGAAGCAACAACAAGTACTCCTACACCAGGTAAGGCGGGCATCAGTGGCGGGTGGGGTGGAGGGGAGGGCCTTGAGGAAGGGCTGCAGAAGCAGCTAAGAGACAAGCAGTCAGAGTGGAAGTTTGGCAGCAGACCAAGGGAAGCCACCTGCACTCCTGGCATGGTTGGCACAGGTCTGGGTCTAAGGAGGGAAGGACAGAGAGTAGAAGGGAGATCAGGGCAGAGGCATTTGGAACTTGGTGCAGAGCCCTGGCTGGAATGGACGAGACTGAGCATGTAACACCCTTTTAACACCTGTCATGTCAGGCTGCATGCCAGGTGTTTTCCCAGCATTATCCTATGTGGGGTGGAGGAGGGACACTGGGAAACCAGTGGGCTGGGACTCCTCCTAAGCCAACCTTTGTCCCAGGCCAGTTTCCCCCTTGCCCTCCCCGCACTCTCCCCCTCCCCCCCAACAGGTCAGTTAGACTGTAGGAGACTGCAGGCTCAGAGTCAGTCCCAAATCTTCCCAGTGACTCTTTGTTGCCAGCATCACCCTCACAGCAAGGGAAGAATCCTGCTAAGATAGCAGCAAGCCTCCTCCTTTCCAGGCCTAATGAGAGGAGACCTCCCTCCCTCAGTTCTCTCTGCTTTAACTTAAAACCAACTCGACTGCTTTTCTGCGCAGGCCCCCAAACCCAGATGGTGCCCTGAGGCTTCTCTTCCTGTGCCCTCTGGCATCTTGACTTTTCCTCATTTCAGCATGCTGGGGGAGGGGCGGGAGAGCCTAGCTAGTGTCCTCCCTGTGCGGAACCTCATTTCCAGGCCTGCTGGCCCCCCTGGGTTTTTCAGCAACTCCGACGACCACCTACTGAAAAACATTGAGCTGTTTGACAAGCTCTCCCTGCGCTTCAACGGTCGTGTGCTCTTCATCAAGGACGTCATCGGTGATGAGATCTGCTGCTGGTCATTCTATGGCCAGGGTCGCAAGCTGGCAGAGGTGTGCTGTACCTCCATTGTGTATGCTACGGAGAAGAAGCAGACCAAGGTAGGGGGCTTCCCTCTGCATGGGTGGGGCAGGACACACACCAGGGAGTGAAAGGGGCATCAATTTTGCTGTGATGGTGATAGGCAAGGATAAAAAACAATATAAGGGGGCTTGGGAATGGCATGAAACTGTTTGTTCTGGTCAGTTGGGAAGGGGCTACTGGGAAGGACCGGGTCTTTGGAGTTGGCCCAGTTCAGGTTTGAATTCTGGTGCCACAATTTACCAATTTTCTGACTTTAGATAAGCCATCTAAACCATTTGAGCCTCAGTTTCCTCATTTGCAAACAGGGGAATGATAGTGCAAATTTAAGAGTTGTTATGAAAATGAGACAATTCTTAAGAGAGGCAGTGCAGTATAGTGGAAATAACTGTTGAGATCTCTGGCCTCTGCTACTTGGGTTTCCTGCTCAGTCAGCCTCTGCAGTAACAGAGTGCCAGGCATGCGTGAAGGATGTGTTAGGTGACAGTTATCATAAGCTCAGCTAACCCCGCTCTCCCACCCTGTGAGGGTTGGTGTCCTCCCCGGAGAGTAGCTGCCCAGCAGAGTGTATGTTCCGGAGACGGCCAGGCCTTGCTGGTGTGGAAGGGCAGCTGCTCTGGGGGAGTCATGTGCATGTGAAGGGCTCAAAGCAGCCACGCTCACGTATTACCTTCTGACCCCAGGCTACTAAAATGCCTACAGCTGGGCGGTTAGAGGGTCAGAGAAGGACAGCTCAAGGAGGTGGCCCTGCTTCCTCCTGTCATTTTTTGGGCTGGGAGCTCCCATGTGCAGATAGCAATGGGGTGAGGATTCAGGGGGCAGTCTCTGGGAGGATTGGTTACATCGTGGGAGTGGCAACAGCACCTGTTACTTTCCTGAGTGCTTTCTCTTCCATGAACTTTTTGACTCACATACCACATCTGCGAGAGGCAAGACTAGAGCCATTCTCCCCATTTGGCAGATGAGGGAACAGAAGCTCAAGATGACACAAGTTAGTCTAGAATTCAGGAGCCTTGAATGAATGCCTAGCCATCTTTCAATTAATGTTCACAGCTCTCCGAGGTAGATATTAACCATGATTTTATACAGGTGGAAATTCAGGTGTAGCAAGGTGAAGCCCAAGGCCCCACAGCTATTAAGTACTTGAGCTGTATTTGTACCTAGGCTAACCTCAAAGCCAAGGCCCTAACCTCTGCACATACTAGTCCATTGGTCTGGGACCCGGGAGGACATGGATGGTGCTAGTCTTCTGCATTCTTATGTGCATAGGGTACACCTCGCACCGCCTTCCGTGAGAGACCTGCCTCGGCCTCATGAAACAGAAAGCCAGCTGTCTCCTCAGAGAGGTCAGGAGGCCTTAGGAGCCAGCACAGGGTCAGGGGCCCTGACATGCTGCTCCCTCTTTGGGATGAAATCTTGTTCAGTCAGTCTTGTCACCCTCACCCTAGGTGGAATTTCCAGAGGCCCGAATCTATGAGGAGACACTCAACGTCTTACTCTACGAGACCCCGCGAGTCCCTGACAACTCCTTGTTGGAGGCTACAAGCCGTAGCCATAGCCAGGCTTCCCCCAGTGAAGATGAAGAGACCTTTGAACTACGGGACCGTGTCCGTCGCATCCATGTCAAACGCTACAGCACTTATGATGACCGCCAGCTCGGCCACCAGTCTGCCCATCGCGACTGACAAAACCCTCAGGGAGTCAGGGCATGGGACACCCTGTCTCCCCTCCTGTGGAACCCTGCCCCATTGGCCACCCCACGCTGCTGCTGGCTGGGCTTCTGCTCCAGCACCCAGAGGCATGATAGGCCCTGCCTGCGAGGTCAGAGGGCCTGAGTAGGGGAGGGACCACATTCCTTTGCCCTGCTCCCTGAGCACTTCCAGATGACTGAGTCCTGGCCCCTTTGCTCAGCAGCTCCCTTCCTGTCTGACAGGGAGCTGCTTCTGCCCCCGGGCTGAGTGGATTAATGTGCCCACGTCCTGCTAAGAGCATCCCCTTGGCCCTTTGCTGAACGCCCCTTTGCTTAGCTGAGGCCCATGGGAAGTGGGGTCATTCTGTGGAGAAGGTGCTGCTGGTGCTGTGGAGGCCCAGTTTCTTGGAAGGTGGGGCTCCTTTTCTCTTAAGATGTTTAAGCACAGGCTTGATGAGGTGTCTTTTTAAAATAATCTAGGAAATGAATAGTTATAGGTCTAATAATGAGGGGACTGGGTATTCCTGCTACCCCTCCAGGATGCTAAGACCCTGGACCTGTCTCGATGCCTTTGGGATCTATTTCTTTAAAGCACTTTGTTCTTTTGTTCAGGAGATTTGTATTCTTTCCTGACCTATGTTGTCTTTTTCTGACCCTAATCCCCTCTTCCCGCAGAATCAATCTGAGGGAGGAAATAGAAGCAGCAAACACTGACCAGTTTTGGCTTTGCCAAGCTGGCCAAACAGCCTGCCCAGACAGTGCTGAGAAAGGACGTGTAAGATGGGACCTGTGGTCCTAGTAACGCCCTTGTGAGAAAGGACACTTTGCCCCAACATCTTAGCGTCACATAACTGACTCCTAGGGGCTAACATGATTGCTCTTTTTGATTCTCTTGCTGTCAGCTCCAAGGAATGATGTCCTTACTATAAAGCTAAAACCATTTTAGGGGCCAGGAGCATGAGCCACAGCAGGAAGGCTGTGGAGCCCATGACCGCTGGACAGTCCTGCATTCTCTGCAGCCCTGTGCAGAAATGGCATGTGCTTGGCCGTACACTGCCCCCCTCACCCCCCAATTAATGCTATTGGTTTTGTGTCCTGGTTGGGGATGGGGGTTCTTCCCAGTGTGAGTCTCTAACACAGGATAATGTGAGCAGCTTAAGCCCCTTAAAAGGTTTCTTCCTTTCTTTCTTGTTGGGTAACTTAGCCATGGAGATGCCACACACCAGCTCTTAGGCAAGGATGCGAGTTCCTCTTCAGGGCTTTGGTTTTCATTCTGTTTGGCTTGGCCCTTGGGAGGCTCTTATCTGAATTCTTTTCCAAAGGAATGCCATCAGGAAGGAATGTTCAGCCAGCCTAACAAATAATAAAGCAGCATAGCCACTTAGCAGTACCCACTCATTCAGGAAGGGACATAAGTTATCAAGTTCAGTCTCAAATACTCTTACAATAAGCCCTTAAGTGGCTGTTCAAGGCTGATTCCACAGAGTCTCTGGGCAAATGCCAGGCCAGGGTTAATAGACACTCAAAAAGGACCTGAAATGACAGGATGGGGCAGGGAAATGTGATTCTAATCAGGTATTTTACACTTGTCACAATGTATAAAGACTTTCAGGTGAGGCACCCTCGTGATCAGCTATAAACAGTTCTTCCAGCCCTCAGTGAAGTAATAAGATGAAGACAAATCCACTTCTTTGGCCAGATTCGGGCTTTGGCTTTTTCAGAGCCTACTGGCCTAAAAACAATTCTGAGGCCACTGGCCTACTTCCTCCACTGTCCTCCTGATGCCCTTTAATACTCAAAGTCCCAGATCTCCACTGAAGGATTTTAATGATTGTCCTTTGACCTTCACAGCTCCTGTAACCTCTTTACTGCTTTGACATTCAGATTCTCTGCTCAGTGACTAGTCTTTCTTCCTGGAACTCTAGACACTTTTCCCTGATTGAAAATATTTCCTTGTTAAGAAAAACTAAGCTCAATTAAGTAATCTTAGTTTTTTAAATCAGACTGTGTGGTGTAAGGACTTGGAGAATTTTGCATTTCCTAGCCCCATTCAGAAAACACTATTTGTATGAATTTTTCAACTGTGAGCAGCCCAGGGGAAATGTAAACAAAAAGTGTGGATGAAGGTCAAACCTTCTCATCAGTTTCTCCAAAAACTGGAAGCCTGCTGTTAAGGACATGAATGAATATTGGGTTTTATTCAGTTTGTTATCTGACCAGGGTCTGCCTAATGGATGGCACAGGTCCTGGCATGAGGGAACTTCTTCTGTATCATACAACTACAATTCTTTGTTGTTCTGCACAGGTGATGGAAACAAACACTAACTTCTAATAAAATTGTTACACTGCAGTGGTACAGAGCCATGCTTACAGTGAGTACAGCTCGGTCAGCTCGCTGCTATGGATGTTGTTCTTGTATTTGTGTTCACCACCTGACCTCACGTTCTCCCTGAAGTCCAACTGCACTCAGTTGTCCTGCAACACAGACTCCCCCTGGTGGAGGATTAAGGACAACACTAATAAGGGCCAGAACTGAGATTTAATATTAATTCAAGAATAAAACGACTGCTTTAGCAATCACTATGGTAGTGGGGAAGCAGGAACCCTAAGAATCAGGGCAAAATGCAGCATGTTTCATCTCTGGCTCTTGGAGATGTGTGAAAAGCTCACAAAGTAGCTTGGCTTAGTCACCGCCCGTACCTAAAGCTCCTCGGCTGAATTTCTGCATTTGTAGTCTGGAAGCTTGACAGCTCTGTGCTCAAGGCTGGCAGGCCCACTGCTCCAGGAAACCTGGTTGGCTTGCCTCATTTCTCTCCCAGGCCCAATGAGGCCAGAGATGCCAATGGTTGGCCAGCACTACGAGCCAGGCTGCCTCTGACCCTGATATTGGCCTCCTACTCTGCACTTGGCAGAAGGTAAAGAAGAGAACTAGCCCAGCCCCCACCCCACTGAGAGGCATAGTGATCCTGGGAGATGTCTAGCCAACCCCAAGCCTCAAGAGGGAAACATACATACCCTAGTAGAAAAGGAAGCAATCAAGGGCTGTCACTGGGTCAAAAAGGGAGCCTGAGACCTTGGGGGCAGAAATGGCGAGGATGGCCAAGCGTGCACTGGTTTATTGACCAAACCTCACATTCCAAACAACTTGTGTGACCAACTAGGAAACTTCCGAGCCTGTGGCAGCTGGACCGAGTTCCTGGTGGGAAGGGCTACTGGAACACAGTGTAGGCGGGGCTTACAGGGGAGGCCAGCCTTGGAGGAGTCCTACATGGGTCTTCGGGAGAAAAGTTACAGCCCTCCCACCAAAGAAAGAACCCCACATTCAAATGGCGCAACCAATTAAGAGACCCACTGTGGCCCACTGATGGAGAGAGTTCTGCAGCAATTGTGGGATGACAGCTGTTCAAGGACTGAGCCTGCCCATTCAGGGCCTCAGCTGGCCTACCAGTGAAGGCCTGAGGGTGGTGTCTTCTCATCTTTATTGCTTTCCAGGGAGAAGGGAGGGATCCGGACATCAAAGTGGGAGCCATCCGGCCTCTCAAAGCGGAATGTCCCCCTGTGGGTCAGAGAAGCTGGTTTAGAGGGAGTGAGGGCTGAAGCCCTCTTGAGGATCTGGATAGCCCTATGTCCTCAGCTCCAGAAGCAAGGCAGAGGACAGGCTGGGCTCTCCTCTGCCTGGCTCATGCCAGCCTAACACTGGTCGAGAGAGCCATAGTCCTTCCTGCCCCTACATGAAAAGAAAAAATACAGCTGTCCTGATTCTGGCCCTTAGATGCACACTGCATAAAAACCCCAATTACAGCCCTAGCTGGTTTGGCTCGGTGGATAGAGCGTCGGCCCGTGGACTGAAGGGTCCCAGGTTCGATTCTGGTCAAGGGCACATGCCCAGGTTGCAGGCCTTACCCCCAGTAGGGGGCATGCAGGAGACAACCGATCAATGATTCTCTCTCCCTCGCCTTCCTCTCTGAAATCAATAAAAATACGTATTTTTAAAAATCCAATTACACTTTCAGGTTAAGGAGTGAAATACCGAGAGGGGAGGGCGGGGAGTCAACTACGTAGGCAACACGGCACCATCAGATCACCAGGCCTCTCTGGCTGAAGTCCTCACTCTGCAAAGCCACAGGGAGCTGGAAAACGGTCCTAAACCATCAGACAAGTCCCACGACAATGGACAGCAGGCAAGGCTCCATCTCAGGACTAAACTTGGCCCAGAATTAATTGAAAAGCTATGAGCCCCCACTTTTCTGACCTGCAGCTTGTGTCTGTGGAATTAAACTGCCCCTGCCCCTACCCCTGCCCCTGCCCCAGCACACCCTCACTTACCACATATGCCCACTGGAAGCTTGCAGGGAGACGTGGCTGCTGTACTGGAATGCAGGCTGCTCCTTGGATAACACCGGTTCCTGTTAGGGTTCAGGCAAAATAGGTCAGGCCAGACAAGTTCCCTGTACCCTGGGGCCAGATGCTATGCCAGTTCATCAGGACTGGATGCCTCCTCATGCCTCCCACAATGACTGCCTGCCAGTGCTTCCTCCACTGCACAGCCATGGACCTGGGCCTCTTATTCTGCCTCTGGGTCATCGTAGACTAAATGTCCGAGGGCACCGGGCAAAGATGCTAGGCACAGGGCCTACTCTGTAAATACCCTTCCAGTGTCCCTTTGCTGAGTGCCTAAGTGCAAGGCACCATGGCAGTGCTCTGCAGACCTTTGCTGACTCAAGTCTCCAAGTACTCCGTAAGGAAAAGGTGTAATCCCCATTTCAGAGTAAGAAAACGAGATTTTGGTTAAATAACTTACCCAAGTTATGTGGTGAGTAAAGAACACAGCTGGCATTTGAAATCAGACTAACTCCAAAGCCCCATTCTTACTCTCTATCCCACCCTGCTTCCCCAAGTCCCTGCTAACTTGCATAAATGCTTGCTCAATGAGACCCCTGCCACTTCTTGTGACTTTATTTCTCAAGAAATGGTGGGGTAGTACAGGAATTGCAAAAGCAGATCTCCTCAAGGATCAGCAGAAGATGCAAGCATGTAAAAGGTAGAGAAAGGACAACAGGAGTAGGGGGAGCATGCCCCATCCAAGGGCATTCAGATTCAGATTTTTAAAAAGGCACTGTGCTAGCTACAAAAAACTCTACACCAGCTTTTCTCTTTAACCCTCACTCAAGGATATGATTTTCATTGATTCTAGAAAGAGGAAGGGAGAGAAAGACATCGATGTGAGAGAGAAGCATCAATCGGTTGCCTCCTGTATACGCCTCAACTGGGGATCAAACCCACTACTAGGTATGTGCCCTGACCAGGAACCGAACATGTGACTCTGGTGCACAGGACGATGCTCAACTAAGCCACACCAGCCACTGCTACATCAGCTTTGATGTTAGATCGCTTGGATTCCAATCCAGGCCCTGCACCGCTAGCTATGGGCCCATGGGCTAGTTATTAAACTTCACAGTCTCATTCTCTTCGTCTGTGAAATGGGTTGTAAGAAACCTATTTCACAGGGCTGTTGTAAGATTTCTCACCAATGCATTCACACCCAGAGTCTCTGTCCCTAACCACACACTAAGCCCCCAAGCCTGCTGTGCAGGACCAGGAATTGGGCATTACTGGCCCAATGAATGATGATGCTCACCCTGCCCACCACCCCTCGGCCTCGCACTGTCTCCAAGGTGCCAGAGAGACTGAATATCCTCCAGTGTCGCTCCCGGAGCTGTACCACGTCACTGTCAAGGTTCTCCAAGCGAATACAGTAGCGCCACTGTGGGAGTGAGAGAGAGTTCACATCTGAGAAAGTAAACTTTGGGCTAGTGTGCCCAGAATTCTGAGACCAAAAGGCAAAAAAGGCTGACACCTGCATTGCACAGGCCCCTGCTCCCCAGAGGTAAACTCCCCCACCTCCCAACCTGCCCCACCATGCACCCCTCCTGAGCTCCTCCTCCTCGAGGGAGACACTCACCCAGTAGACGTGGGAATTCTGGGCTTCCTGGGGAAAAAAACACAAAGAATTTAAGTCCCAGAACAGAGGGCAGGACCAAGTCTGTTCCACTCAACATCTCTCCAATGGAATAGATGTATTCCAGGAAGGTTGCAGAGACAGATAATGCTGCGAATATCTGTGGATGATGATGACTGAACTATGGCCAACAAGCCCACTGTGGGGGGCAGCCTTCCCTTGGTCCATCCCTAGCCTTCCTCCTTTTTTTAAAAAAATGTTTTTATTGATTTCAGGGAGAGGAAGAGAGAGGGAGAGATAGAAACATCAATGAGAGAGAATCATTGATCAGTTGCCTCCTGCACACCTCCTACTGGGGATCGAGCTCAAAATGCGAGCACATGCCCTCACCAGAAATCTAACTGTGACCTCCTGGGGCATAGGTCGATGCTCAACCACTGAGCACTGGCTTGGTGCTGGCCTTCCTCCTTCTTATCCTATCGGCCACAGGACTCGTCCCTTTTTCTGGACCACCCTCCCTGACAATTGCTGCTCCCTACCCCTCACTGCTGGCCCAGGCCACTGCCCGCCTCTTCGGCCCTACCATAGCCCAACCTTATTACAATTCTTGGTGTGGTGTATATTGACATCCCTCACTACCACAAACTCTGGAAGGCAGGGACAATGTTTCATTTTTATCTGTATCCCCAGGACCTAGCTTACAGCCAGGCAAGAAATAGCTCAATAAATGTTTGACTAATGCATAAGAAGTATGAAGATCAGCCTACAATTTAGACAAGTATGTGTATGTTCTTCATAAACACAGCTCCCTTTGAGTCAGAAGAGAGGAGTCAGCCTAGAGGACTCTCCTGGGACCCAAAGGTTTCCCTGCTCTTGGTCTTGGTGTCAGCCCTTGTCAAGAGGCTGCTCAACCCCACGCAGTGGAGGACTAGGAAGCAGAAGCACCAGCACATGGTTGAAATTTGGAACCTGCTCCAGCAGTCACATTGGGAAGACCATACAGAATCTGGGGACCTAGCCCTGAGGGAAGGGGCCCACGCCGGGCACATACCCTCATGCCCATGTAGAAGGGGATGACAGTGACACGGATGTTCTCAGTTGTTTCCCGATGGACATCGGAGAGCTCCAGCCAGGGGTGATTCTTCTCTTGCCAGGCCCTTAGTGTCTCCCGAGCCACAAAAGGGGGTGCTGGGGCAAGAGAATGACTGGTTAGTCCAGGCCAGAATCCAGGGCATTATACTCACTTTCCAACTCTCCCTCCTAGAAAACCCTTCCTGGTGGTGGCTCAGATACACAAGAAGCAAAGCACAGGCTGGAAGAAAGCACAGAGCTGCTTCCAAGAAGCCCCGAGGAGGTATGTAGCATCGTGGGAAGAGAACTGGACTGGGAAT